GTTTACGCCCTTTCGTCTCCACGCCGCCTGGATCTATGTCACCTCTTCGAGATCCTTCTCCGTCCCTATACGTGTTAGCGGGAAGAGCAGGCCTAGCTGAGCCCGCATTATAAGCATTATTATTCATATTATTTTATTATTATTATTATATATATGTAATTAAGTCCAAACTCGTTCTCAACACTGTCCCAGTTTCATCACTACTCTGTCTCGTTGTACCATGCACCCCCCCCTTACGACGTCTCGTTCCTTACCTCATTGTGCCGTCTCGTTCCAGTTGCTTATTTTTTGGTGACACATACTGATGCACGAGGCGTTACTATCTCGGTTCGGAACTCTCTTCGCCATCTCATCACCGGGCTTGGTCCCGCCTTTCTCTCTTTCACATTTCAGCGCCCAACGGGGAGTCCCCGCTTGGCACGAACTCCGGGCTTGTCATCCTTCGCTCATCCTTTCTCTTTCGAACTGACCAGGGATTTCGATTTGCTCTCTCCATTTCCCTTGCCTGCTGTCCCAAGTTTTTTTTTTTTTTTTCTGCATCCATCTATTTACACATTCTTTCAACCTGCCTTCTTCATTTCGCTCCTTTTAGTTCGTTGTTTCGATTGCACTTTCCATCCCAATACTGTTCCTTCCATACAGACAATTCTTCCATATCCCTTTCTCCCTATTTTCGAAATCATATTTCGACTTTTCGCCCAAAACATATTTCTTATTTTTTTATTTCATTCGCTCTCTTTTCTTATGGCTTCTTCTCATTTATTGCCTTCTTTTTCTTTTTATCAATTCACTACTTCCTATCTGTGTAAATTTCCTGTTAATTTACCGACTACGACTATACGTTGTTCTCTTTCTTCTTTCCTGATACTTTGTCTTTCTCACTTCACTCTTTGCATTGTTCTTTTTTCAGGTTTAATACTTTTCTAAATCTCATTTCTATGTTCATGTTTATGTTAATTAATGTTTCTTTTCTTATTCTAGTTCCTTCAATTATTTATTTAACACATTTCTTTGTTTCCCCTCATGCCTCGTTATCATCTTTTCTAGCGTTCTGCATATTCATTATAGCCATTCATAATAATTATTATAATCCACCGCTTTTAACCTTGAGCCTACTCCAAAATGCACAATTCTCATCGGTAAGTTTCGACGTCTTTAAAATTGGGTTATATTTTAAACATTTAATTGCAAATTTAGCTTTTGAATTTCTTTTTTAATCAAGCTGTAAAATTAAGTTCTTGCTACAAAATGGCGGTCAGCTGATGTTGGTAAATAAACTATTCGAAAGAACATATCTGACCCACACGTTTTTTATCCCTTCTACTTTAACTTTTTCCCGTACTCATGTTTTTATCACAATTTCTGTCAGTTCAATGGATCCCTCAGTTGCTAATTTTCAAGGCTCACTTTCACTTTCATTTCTTTAGCAATTTCACGGAAAGTGTGGATAGTGTGAGGGCAGTCAAAGTGTGGCACAAAGTCTAGTTCAGTACACGGAGATAAATAGAAACGGTAGCAAAGTGGTTAATGAGTGATGAAATAAAAAAAAAAAAATAATCTAATAGCGTCCCCTCCGCCCACGCCCCTATCCGCACCGTCCCTCCCTTGTTAACGTTCTCCGGGCGACTCGCGCAGACGACCTTCCGGGAGCGCGTTCCGCTCCGATACATAGCCCCGAGCCGCGGCCAGAGGCTTCGCTCGGACGGCCCCGCAGCGGCCCTATCGGGTTCTTTCGGGCGAGAAGTTTCCACAAGTGTATCTGATCGTGCGCTACGCGCGAGTAATGACGGAGTCTGGAGCATTGTGTCTGCCGTCGGAGTACGTGAAGATTATTGAATGCTTGTACGAATGTTCGTTTGTCGTCTTTTGTGCGTAGCATTTCAGCAAATATGGAAAGTAGCTAGGTCAATCAGTAAATAAACATACCAAGTATTGTTTGTTGAATGGATAAGGAGAGATCATAAATTTAAACACATTGTTTCTGCACATTTTTTACTAATTTTTTATATAATTACTAATTTTATTTTAGTATTTTCCTTGTAGTAACGTGAACAATACCCATACTCACCTCTCACAAAGATATTACAGTGAGGTTTCTTTTCGGTTGTTTTTCATCGTAAACTACGCGTGAATAATTATGAAATATCTTTGGATTGGTCCTTGTTGTTACAATGGTCTCGTTTGTGAATTGGATTTGAGAAAATTGTAATGATATTATGAGGACAATCAGATGGTGCAATTCCCAATTATTTACAACTTAAAACAAAAATATCTATCACAAACTTAAAAACCCTGTTATTTCTCGATATATCGACATAATCATCAATTGTGTTTAACCATTTTTTCTCGGTGTTACGATGCTCTCCATTGCCTGCCAATAGATATTAAGCGAGACGCTTCAAGTATGTGATTGAATGATTATCTGTTCACTGCATACAGTTTTCTTGAAGTATAAAAATTATACAAATTGGCTATTAATGTCGTTCCCCTTAGATACTTCCATCTCCCACAGTTTGGCGGAGATTCTAATTATATTAATTCTATTAAAAACGATAAATTCGTAATACACATGAATTTTTCATTTTTTCAAAGTAAACATTTATAATATATTTTCGAATATAAATACTTTAAATTTTTTTAGAACATAATATTCATAGAACTTAATTGATGTAGTGAGAAATTTTGACATAAAAATTGCCACCTTATCAGTTTGGATTCTAACCCCTTTTGTCTACGAATCATCAAATCTTACGCTGAAGTGAAGATATCATCGAAGAATTCTATGACCACAAGCATACCGCAGCAGTTTTTCTAGATGTAGCTAAAGCTTTCGATACCGTCTGGCAACCAGGGTTAATTTTCGAATCCCTAATATAAGTACTCCTTTATTTCTTTCACGCATTATTGAAAGATTTCTTACCAAGCCAACATTTTCTGTACGGAGCTCTCTCCGCACCTTTCACCATCAAAGCAGGAGTACCCCAAGCATCCCCCCTCCTCCACTTTATTTAATGTTTACACTTCGAGTATATCAATCACCCAAAGTACTGCAATACCTCTATTTGCTGATGATACATTCCTCCAATTGCAATCTCGAATCTTCCGTAAATTGTTTCCCAACTCGACCAAAAATTGCACATTGAAAAAAATTCAAATAAAGCCAAGCAAAAATATTTACACTCCGTTGACCAGACGTTCCCCGCACTCGCACATTCTAATAACAAAGCATTACCTGGATCTCTCCCAACAACACTATCCAATATCTTGGAGTTCTGTTCGATAAGAGATTTACATAGCGACAAAATATAAAATACTGTATAACACTATCGACTAGTAGATTTCTCCAATTATAACCGATCCAAAAAAATCTCTCTTACAGCTACATGTTACTATTCACCTCTATAATGCAATGATACGACCCATATTTTCCTATGCTTCCCCAGTCTGGACATCCGCAGCCAAAACAAACGTCAACAAAATGTAAATGTTCCAAAATAGATTCCTACGCACCATCACAAAAGCTCCCTGGTACATTCCGACTGTTCAATTACATAATGAATTTGGTATTACACCCATCTTCTCCCTCTTATCCGTAAAATTATGTTCGAAAATATTTAAGATCCCTTCAGCATTTTCACATAGGTGAGCAAAATCTTCACTGTAAAAGATTAAAAAGAAAGTTTTCAAGATTATTTTTCGATCCCCCATAGGCATAAACTGATGACGTTTCTCTTTATAAACTACTGTATATATCCAATGTATTGAGCTACATAAAAAACTATATTTCTCTATATAATTTATCAAATAATTCTCGTATATAAATCATATCGATGTATTTATTTTAAGCGGCCGCAGAGGCCCAAGGACAAGGACCAAGGTAGAATTTATTTTTATTGAATTTTCAAGCTTCTGAAATATGTTTACGTTATTAATAGTGAATTTGACACCCACACTTAGTTCTACATCTTAGCTGATTCAAACGTGCTTTCATGCAATGGAAAGTAAAAAATTAGTATACCTCCGGTTGGTCCCCTCACCCATTGTTCTAAGCAAGATAAATTTCGAAAACACAGCTTAAATGCACGATTTTCGTGCTTCCGCACGTGAATCTATACACCTGCCCTTATGCCCATTTATTCACATTGCCCTACTAGCGTTCATCCGCTTACAAGACAGATAGACGTAATAAACGCTCCTACCTGCAATTCTGGCGCGGCGCAACAATTATTCGTGTTAAATTCCATCCGTCAAACGAGAGCACGCGCCATCCGTTATGCCGCCGGCTGCGGTTTCGAAAAGACAGAAAGCAGCGCAAGCTGCTGCATACTATCCGTTTGTGGGCGTGCGGGCGGGATGACCAATTGGCTCCAATTGCAGGCTTAGTCGGGAAACAAACACGTGCAAATATTGTAAAACAAACGAAATGACTGGAATTCTCAAAAATGTGAGAGTATGACAAGCTTTTATGGAGAAAATAAGATAAATGCATACGCACATGTTTACGTATAAATACATACGTACGAATAAATATATTAAACATTTTTCAAGAATTACCACACATCTAATATCTTCAATAATAACCTGAACAGTAAAGAGACCAATCTAGTCTGTACTTAGTGATATTGATATTTCTTTATCTCTTCAAGCTCAGATTCTTCGAGTAAATATCAGGTACATTGGAAATAAAATTAGACGCAATTTATTGGATTCATACGGTGTTCGGTCAAATTATATACAAAAGAAAAAACTACCGCCAGAAGACGATATTAATTTGCCAGCATTACAAAGGTAATAAACAAGAGTTTGGAAAAGTCGGATCATTCTCTTTCAATGACTCGGCAAGTTGTGCTTTTATCCAGTTTACTCCAGTAGATACTATAAAAAGTGAATGTTATGATGCATCAGCAGCTTGATTTTTTGTGAAATGTTTGTTGTATCTATCATCTTACTAGGCCTAAGGAATATTTTGATGTGGGTGACTGAGAGTGTCGTGTTGCAGGGACCCCAACGAGCCGCGGGTACGCCACCCGGACTACGGACCTGCACGCGGAACACGGCCACGCGGCCTCACCTGGGAGGCGTACGAGCCTGGCACGCAGCTGTACCTCAGCCTCAGTGAGTACCCATCCCTCGCCTGCGTACAAATGTACCACAACCTCAGAGAGTAGTATCTGCAACTGCACACAGCTGAACCTCAGACTCTATGAGTTCTCTTTGTATCTGCGCCCAGATGTACCTTTGCCTCAATGGGCCTCTGCGCCTGCATACAGATGTACCTCAGCTGTGCTAGTACAGACTAGTACACTACCTCGACCAGACTGATTATTTCTGCTCGCTGGGTACAGATTGTGCAAATGTAGGTCAGTCTCAGACAGTAGTGTTGTTTTTACTCCAAAAATCCATAGAAATGGCAGAAACAGGTACCCATATATCACAGCTGATACCTAGAATTCCTGATAATGTTATCTCGCTAATTATTGAAAAAGTTGCAGATGCATTACTAATATTCCAGAAATTGGTATTGCATCATAAAATATATTAACAGATTTCTCAAAGTCATCGGTCAAGAAAAATTGCGCGGATATTACTACTTATTTCTCGGTGTATTGTTCCTCCATCGGTAGAACCGGAGATAACCGGAAGAGTTCAGAAATGTCGAGCTCCGATTGACCCGCTCGGAGGTCTCGCTCCAGTTGCCAGCGCGAGAGGGCGAGGCCTGCACACGAGTCCACAGCGCCTGTCTTCCTCTCCGCGTTCGACTGCCCCCGCTCCGTCGAGCGAAAGCGAGCGTGTCGCGAGGCCGCGCGCGAAGGTTAAAGGCGACGTGCTTCGGCCCTCTGCGTTGGTCGACGATTGACACAGGGCGTACATTTTTTCCTCGACCTTCGCACCTTTGCGTGCTGTGAAGAGATAGCTGCACGTGCTTGGTAGTGCGCGAGAAAGAAGTACAATTCCTCCCACCTCGATTTCCTTTTGTGGCGTGCAGTTCACTCAGAATGCCGCAAGCCAGTAAAGGCGTTGTACCGGTGTTAGTGGCACTAATTTTCTTTAGAAACTCGTGTATGAATGTGTTACTATAAATCCAATTTTCCTTTAAGATAAGACTCAATCTCTCTCGTAGCAACAATTTTAAACAACAAATAAAAGAAAGGGTTTTCATTTACTGAGTTGAAGCACACAATGACGCCATCGTTATATACAAGTGATCGTTAGATACAAGTTGTTTTGATAATTACCCAGCAGAGTGACGTCTTAATATTCTACTAGTGTTATCCGGGCCCCCATAGCGTACTGGGATCCACATCGTACTGGGCCCCACAGCGTACTGTATCGAGATACACACCAGTCGTAAGGTCCGCGGTTTTGATTCACGCCACGGACGTGGATGCAGCTTAGTGTGTCGTGGCAAGGTTGATTCTTTTTCAGAACCTTGCATCTCCTAGAAAAATAACTCTTCTTTCTCTTTCTTTCCCCTTTCCCAAAAATAGGCGTGATGGTGAGGGGTCACTTCCAGCGGGCAGATGGAAGATGCTTCGACAACGGGTGTATGACGTGTGCTCCGCCGGGCGTCCCTTACTAGAAAAGAATCCAAATATGGCCACGAACCAATTGGCGACATCGACAAGTTGCTGAGGACTTGAGGGACTCTATGGCATAACGGCGCAGAACACTGGAGGCTGGGGGCTTCGATGCATGCCTTAACGGGAAAATAGATGTGAACTAGCCCGACGAAGATCAATGACGACTGTCACATTTGACATTCCTACGCCGGGTGAAGGGAGAGAGCTACTAGGACGCATGCACGAGCCAGGCACCAAGCACCGTGCAATGATCTATACCAGCATGCCACTACATGCGCTTTACAACGCTCAAGGCGGTATTGGCCGTATTTGATGAAGTTCGCTTCGGAACCTTGAACGCTAGCAAAGCAGCATCAATTCGTCTTCATCCATACAGACCAGAGAAATTCCTAAAGTTCCTGCGGATATTATGAAGCTGGATCTTACCCTTGGTTTATTATAATACTAAATTATTTTATATCATAATCTTCATGTGATGTAATAAAATTTGGGGAGTATATCAAATAGTTTGAGAAATCAAATAGATATTTGAGATACTACTTGGATGAGGATTCGACTTCAAGAACATTTAACATCCGACCCTCCCATAAATAAAAATGTAATTTTCGATATTGACACTTCAATAAAACCGAATTCAAGTAAGCACATGGGCACTTTTAAGGGTGTTTCAAGCTCAATGTATCAAAAAAGGTCACGAATGTATTCTTTTCTATAATGTTTTGTGAATCAGTAAAAGAAGTACCTACATTTAGTTATTTAATGTTATAAAATAGTATATTAATTGCCGCTAACTTTGACAGATTCTTCACCTAGTTCAGTTCCATTAGTCTGGAGGGTTCCCTGTCTTATTCATCTCCCAATCGCAGCTCCCTGAATAAGATAGAAGGACCTAACCACTCCGCAGTCAGCAACTCGTTAATAAGCCGCCCCTTCCCATCGACGGCGCAGCCAGGTGGAATGGCGCGCAGGTAGGTTCGGACGGGCGAATGGACGAGAGAGGGCCGCCTTGATCGGCAAGCCCCATCAAGGTCGATCGGGCAGGTGCTGGTGATTCGACGGAACGGCTCTGCCCCACCCCCACCCCCGGCTGCGGCTCAGCCACCTGAAAGAAGCCCCGGCTGTCGATATTCAATTAACGCGGCTCCCACCGCAGGAGCAGAAGCTGCCGACCCGCGGACGCGGACCGCTGCGATGCCGGACGGCCCGATCCCTTAGCCCCTTCGATCAAGGCACCCATGCACACCCAAGCGAGCCTTGCAGCTCAGCTCGCGGACCGCTGCGATGCCGGACGGCCCGATCTCTCAGACCCGGCCGTTAAGGCCCCCATCCACTGTCAAACGAGGCTTGCGGGTCTGGTTTGCATGAGTTGTGAATACGTAGCGACAGCTTTACAAGCGACATAACCCGAGTTCGTCTCTCTTGAGAGTGAATCAACATTACGTTTTCTCGGCAGCATTATCGACTGGAATGTCGTAGGGTTCTAGTGTTGTCGGTGACGTATTTTTGACACTAGCTGTATACCTTCCTTCAATTCAATCACAGCGTGCGGGAGAATACTAGCGGTTGGCTGCTGAGATTGATGGTGTTTCATGGTTTCTCACATTGACACCCGATAATGCCGGATGTTACCTTTGAAATAGACAACGGTCCTTACCTTTAGTACGTTACCTTTCCTTCCTCATTCTGCTTCTCCCCGACCCACACTCATATTTCCTTGCAGTTTATTTCCACACATACCGGGCGACCAGGAGGGAATTTACAGCTTGTTCCAGCTGGGGCGGTGCTCCTCTGAGGCATATACTCGCAACTGCCATGGAAACCCCATAAGTCGACATATAGATAGACGTCGGGTCTCCAGTTCCAAGGGGCAGGAACACCGCTTCCTCCCACTCTTAACGTGCACTACACACACGGACATATTGGTTACAGTATTTGACGCGCCCGGAAACACTAAAACCCACTTGAGAGACGGCGGCCTAAGGTGTGGACTCTGAACAACCCCGAGCGTCGGGACTGGTGGATCACGTTGGAGGGGGACTGCAGGGCTTCTGGGAAGGTATGCAATCTCGCGACGGCAGCTTGAGAAGTGCGGCGGTAGTTCTAGACCGGGCGCGTCGAAGGGTCGTGCAGCCTGCGTTATCTATAAATGGGCCGCTTTACGACCACCCTATTCCTCGCTGCCGTTGCTCTCGGTTGGAGACGCGTTTCATCGCCATCTCATCGCTCTCCTTTCTCAACTCGACGTCTCGTAGCGTTTCTCATTGTTCGGATTGCACCTTTATCCACTTACAAGACTGTGATTCCCCATCGCCGTTTCATCTGTTTGGGTTGGGCGGTTTTTTGTACCTTTCCAGAGTCAAGAATAATTCGTAATTTCTTGAGAGTTACTTTAGTAATCCTAAATAAATTACGAATTATTCTTCCTAGACCGAGATAATGTATTTCGAAGAGAACATAGTAATGAATTATAAGTTGCTTTAAACAAAATATAATGAAGAATACAATTCACAGAACATATTTTTATCTCCATTGTTCTTCGTTCTCATTATAAGTGTGCGTAGTACTTGTCAACCTTTACAGCGAATTATTATTGAACAAAGTAGTTCATGCTATGCGCCAAATCGTACGTGCGTCGTTCAAATTCACGCGAGCAATTTTGGCCGATAAAAAGCGGCACTGGGTGGAGGTATCCTCTAGGTGCGGCCTTGCGCGAGCTCTGAGATGGCGCCTTGATTGAGGTGGGGAGGGGAGGGACTGTGGCGAGGGGGGAAGATCCCGGAAGGACGCTGCCGTCACTTCCGGCGGCGCGGCGACCGCGAACCCCTGCGGACCCTCTCCATTAGGCGGAAACCGCGACCTGCGCCCCTCTTCCCTCTCTCCCCTCGCCCTCTTTCGTCGCCGCCGCGGCCCCGCCCTCCAGCGGCCACCGCCTCCGCCGCCGCCGCCGAGCGAGCGGCTCTTAATGGGGCGGCGCGGCGCATCGTGGCGTGGCGTGGCGCAGCGCGGCGCCTGTCGGGCCGGGAGGAGGGCGGTCGGACGCTTTCCTGGAATTCCTCGGATTCGCTGCCACGCATTCCGTTCAACTCCGCCCAACTCCGTTTCCCTTCAAGTCCTTTCAAGACGCTGCTTCGGTCACATCCTCCGTCACTCCCGGCGTCACGCCCCATCCGTCACGCCCCCCTGTCGTCACGCCCGTCCGTCACGCCCCGTCCGTCACGCCGCCCGTCCGTCACGCCCTCCGTCCGTCACGCCCCCGTCCGTCACGCCCCGTCCGTCACGCCCCCGTCCGTGCACGCCCCCGTCCGTCCGCCCCCGTCCGTCAACGCCCCCGTCGTCACGCCGGCCGTCGTCACGCCCCTCCGTCCGTCCGCCGCCGCGTCCGTCACGCCCCCCGTCCGTCACGCCCCGTCCGTCACGCCCCCCGTCCGTCACGCCCCCGTCCGTCACGCCCCCGTCCGGTCACGCTCCCCGTCCGTCACGCCCTCCGTCCGTTGTCACGCCCCCGACCGTTGTCACGCCCCCAGTCCGTTGTCACGCCCCACGACCGTCATCACGCCCCCCGTCCGTCATCACGCCCCCCGTCCGTCACGCCCCCGTCGCACACCTCGTGGCGCTCCCTGTCGCTCACTTCCTCTGTTCCGCCCGCCTTTCATCCTGCGCGCTCTCTTATCTCCTCACGCTGTAATAAAATGATATACCTGTAGATCTGTAAAACATTTATTTATTGCCTCAATGGTTTTTTTTTCTGAGAAGATGTGGTTACTAGAAATCATGAAAAATTGAAATTCTGTGAATCAACACGTTCTACCAGATGATAATAATAAAAAGTTAGTTGTTGTTTGGAAGATTAGCTCGTGATATTTTTATTAAATAGTTTCCCAGCTAGTCATTGATAAGTTTACTTTCTTTTTTTTACAGCCTGGTGAAAGTAATAATTATTAGCTTCAGATTTGTTTTAAATTAAGGTAGCGATTATAATTGTACGAATGTCTGCAATTGCAACATTTATAACGAAATTATAAATGGTTGCGCCTAAAAATCAGAACACCTAAAAGTCTATTTTTACGCGTTAATGGTCATATTGTTTAAGGTACTAATACTAAATTATAATTTTGTCATTTATGGAGAAAATATCGTCAAAAATGCTTAATAAAGTAGTTTCTCAAGTTTACTTAATTCATGATTTTTTCTTGGAAGAATCGTCTAATTCTAATTAAGGATTTTGTTCTTTTCTTTTTGCAAATTTGTTCTACCCGGTCGACCCAGTTGGACACCATGACCTTTCTTCTGCGCCTCGTCCTGGTTCGCAACAGTTTACCTCCTCATGTATCGGTTTATTCCTCCTATAAATCTCCTTTGAACTTTCTATGGAACTTTAATACATCTACACGAAACACCGTTCCCTTGGGTGCAAAGATACCTCTCCGAGATAGCGGCGACAGAAGTGTTTTCCCAGCAACGGACGCCATGTTGAGAGCCCTCATCAACCACCGGCAGCGCCACCTCAGAGCCCTCTAGGGACGAACGCGAGAAGCATAATCAATCTCCCTTCTGCCCGTCCAGCGCTGAGTGCGACACAACCGACAAGCAGTTTTGCCTCCGATCTCTCCCCTTTAGGCTGACGATGCCGAAGCATTCACAAGAGTGTTTTAATATCGCTGAGTGATGATATATGAAGAGCCCGGTAGATAGAGCGAGAATCACTAATCCAAACTTTCCAATTGGCCGGTGTGAAATAAGATATCATGATAATTTAAGGATGTGATCAATCCAATAATTTCATGTGAATTCATTCCGCGTATTGATTCACACAATGTGTAGTTCCTCCGACAAAACTCACAGTGTTTTCAAAGGGAAATGTAAATTGTGCGACTTTAATCCTTCCATTACTAATTAAATTGGATTAAATTCGTTTCTCGAAAATTGAATGGAAAGAAAAGTGAAAATGGATCACCCGCAAAATGTCGTATTATCTCCTTGAAAACACGGACTTGTAAGACTGTGATTGAAAACTTGGTGTGGATTCTTTTGGAATACAGACGCATTTAAAAAGACAGGTTATGCGGTTCATTAGAGAATATCTCTGTTGTGACTCAAGCCCGAGATACGTCAAATTCAGGCATGGGGCAGTTAATGCGCACGCTAGTTGGTCGGTTTGAATAAAGCTGTATTAATGACGATCGTTTCGATCATCCGGCTAATGTTGGCATTAGCCACAACCCATTAATTATAACTGATGTAGTGCAATCCGAAACATACACATCTTGTCTCTCACTACCCAGAAAATTCCCACCTGATTTCCGTTTATCACATAATACTTATTATTTATCGATACTGAAACGTACTTCGCCTGCCCTAGACACCTCCTGGTGGCTACCACACACTTCATCCGACTTAAGTCCGAAAACGTTTCTTGTCCTATTTCGGACTGTATTCACCTATTCCGGATATTGTGAATATCAACAAGCTAATCCGCGAATTAGCCAGTTTTTGGCATTAGCCTTAACGAATCCTCCATGTGCCAAAAGCCACAAGCTCATACACAATATATAAATTATGTAGCTGTGTGTAAAATATTCGTTAAAAGGTGTTTCCAAATTTACTCTATAATTATTAAATAGTTTTGGTAGTGAAATTAGTGAAATACATGAGAATCAGTATTATCTGCTACTGAACTACGTATTTATTCCAATACTTTCTTCGAAGTGTGTCGTTTCAAAGTCTGTATAATTCCACAAGCTGTAATTTACTTTCTCAATGAATATCTGGTGTGCGTTAATGCACCAAAATGTACCATGATGTTGTACTCTGTACTACATCCGTATTAGCATTGCCAATTCATGTCATGGAAATTCAAGCAGATGAGTGCACTCACCAACAATCATACCCATACGAAACACATAGTTAAATATTTTTGTTTAAATTGGAATAAAATAAATAAATAAGTAAATAGGTTAATAAATAAATGAGTACGTAAACAAATAAATTAGTGAAGGAATGAATGAGTGAATGAGACAGACATCCATTTTCCAATTAAGTCGGAAAATATAAATATATTAAAATATAATCTAAATACCACTAAGTACGATTGATATAATATTCATTTACTTTAAAATTCCCTCTGAAGGTCAGAAAACGACGAAAGGCTAATGGGAAAGAGCGTCCTGGACCAACGAATATGATAAAGGGGGGGTTGTCTGAAAGTGGTGCCCATCGGTAGGTAGGCCTCTTCGAACCTCGGACTCCTTCAGTAGAGAGGAATTTCAATTTTAGAATTGCGGTTCATTTCACTTCATTTCAGTCCTGTGTGATCAGTTTGAAATATCCTACTCGTTCAGTACCCACTAACCACAACTCGCCCACTTTCAATTCGTGGTCATTTATTTATTTATTTATTTATTTAAAGTCAAAATATGTGATCACAAGCAAAACAAAGATCTCTGCGTTTTCTCAATGGATCACGGAAAATTGAAAATGCCAATAGGTACCGGAGTCCGGGAAACTCCCAGTTTTCGTCGCAGTTGCCAAGGACGTCATACTGCGACCATCTTCGAGGTTAAATACATTTGGTACAGTTATGTTAAACCGATAAAAGTGGTGTTTGTTCTGTAAAACTCGGAGTGAAGTAAACTCGGACGAGTGATCCGGAAATCTCTGAGCGCAGTCAGGTAGCTGTCGACTCACAAATACACGTAGAGTGCAACCTTAACAGGTCCAACACACATGTCTTCCAAAAGTGTCAACTCTTTGTGTCCTGCCACACGACAGAGTCTGGAGCGCGTGGCCATGTGGTGTTGCAGCACAGAAGCCGCGTATGCGGAGCCACTACCGGGGCCACAAGATGGCGCTCTGGCTCAACCTCATCCCGCAACTGCACCAGCCCGGCGGAGATGACGTCAGCATGCGCCACCACAACTTCCGGGAGCGCGCGGAACACTTTTATTCAGGTGAGTCGCAGTGGCGTTGAGATGAAAAAAATATTAAGCGGGTTGCTGCAGCTACCTGGACTCAAAGAATACATTTAAAAATCACTTAAAAAATCACATTCAAAAACCTCTTTTAAAAAATTCCTTGCAGTACATCTATCTTCATGTAAATTAATAATCCATGAAGGTGTAACTCCACGAAAATTTAATGTCGAGTACTGTATTTGTTTGCGAAAAAAGAAAGAAAATTTTTAATTCCGCCCTTCTGAATTTCATTACGACCCCACCGGTCACATTCCCGCCATTTTTTCACTTAATGCATTTACACTTTGTTTTCACTGATAAATTTTATATTAAGCCAAAATTCTAAAGCAATTAATATGGTTTAGTTACATTGTATGTGTTTTTAATAATTATAGCTTTCTTAAGTATCCATTTTGTATTTTGATCAAACATCGTCCTTTCAGCAAGATATTTATTTATCTACACAAGTTTAGTAAACAAGTTGTATGCAACGTTTTAACGTTAGGTGTAAATTGGACATTGATTTTGCGAAGATATTCCAATGAGTACAAAAATTACTTGGAGTCAGTAACTTTTGTGTAACGTATATGAGAAAGGGCTTTCCATTGAATAATAAACATTTTTAAAATGGTAACTCATCTGAGTCCAAATGTTATGTGAAATGGTGCACAACAAACGTCCATTTGCCTTTCTAGAATAGATACGAAAGAGATCCACTCCAGCGCTCTTAGAGTGCAGCCGGAAATATGCACCGACTGTGAGAGAAAGAATGGGACTTTCTTCCAGAACGGCCAACTTCACACAAAGATGTCGTGAAGTGTACATTTTGAATCAACAAACCTAATATTAAATGAAAAGAATTCTTCCAATTCTCCATTTCTCTCATAATGCATTAAGTAATGTCAATAATTTACTGAATTTATATAATTTCAATAACACGCGAAAATCATTAAATTAAGTTAAGCTAGTGTCAGACGAAGAAGGAAAAACGATATTCCCCTCGGATGCCGCGCAGCGCTCGGCAAGACGATCCCCACCCACTGTGCAAGCGAAGACCCTATTGAACCATATGTTGAAGCATAGAGCCAAAGAATAAATGCACTAATAGAGCCCAGAGCGTGACGTGGTGCTAGACCTGATAAAGCACTAGACGCCGGAATGAGCGCCCATTGGGCGCTCTTTGGTTCAAAATGATTTCATATACATCGATATTGCTGCAATATCTTGAATAGTGAATGTCATTAAAACGAGAATGTAAGTTCTTAACATAAGATAATGTTTCGATTATATGGGGTTGTGCAACCGTGCAGCCTCAGCACGAACCGCCATTGCGTTCGAAACGGATCTCTATGTACACTGCGTAACTTACCTGGGTGGAGAGGATCGTGGTAACGAAGGAAATATGAAAGCAGTTGAATGATGCTACACGTTCTCTGATGGAAGGAATTACGGAAACGAATTTTGAAAAGACAAACCGAGTCAAGTTAGCATCGAGCTAATAACGAAATAAGTATATGTTAATCAATAAAATTAGGTAAAAATTAAAATCATGTATGTGCCACGGGCATTAACTAGTTCTAACGATCTAGGGGGTCTAAAAGCCTTCGGGCCAAAGGGTCTCGGGCTTTTTGCCGCCACTCGATCGTTAGAACCCTTATACAGCCCTTGCTGCTTAAATAATTATTATGAGTAATGTGTATGTTTGCCCGTGGGAATGGCCAACGTTCTGTTGCAGGGCTGGTGCGCGCGGAGTCGTTCACGCGGCCGCCACCACCTCCCCCCGCGCCCGGCAGCACGCCGCGCACGCCCTCCACCGAGTGCACGCCCAACTCCACGGCGGCGCCCTGGGACGAGGACGTGGTGGGCGTGGACGAGGACGACGAGGACGGCCTGGGCGGGGCCGGCGGGCCCGAGGACGAGGCCGGCCTGCTGCGCCGCCTTGCCACCAGACACTACTACAGGTGCGCCAACTCACGCTGCAGGCTCTACGGTTCCACTTCCAACAAAGGCAGGATGATCGGCACTAGCCAGATAGCTAGGTCGAGTTCAGCCTTATCGGTAGTTTTCCGTGTTTTTTCAGATCAACACCTGGAGAATGTCGGAGCAGGGCATTAACAAACAGGCCACGGACCGTGTGGGACCTTTCCTTCCTCTTCCTTGTCCTATCTTCATCTGTTACTTACACTTACACTTATATGCACTACATGACCACACTTGTCGGGAGATCAGTCCTAGAGCACGAGCTTGTCCCGGCTGGGGAGGCCTTCCGCTGGTGGGAGATGCCTTGTTGAGGAAAACTCTGAAAGGCACCGTGTAGGTCGTCACCGGATTTCGCCATCCAACGGGGGAAGATCGCCGCCACTTCCAATTCATTATATAACTCATTCAAAATTCTTTCAAATTCTGTAAGCCTTCATGCAGCTCGTTGCATGTATTTTGCAAATGTACATTCCCGTCTGAGATTTGGCGTAATATACTGGGGAAACTCATCATGTGGTACTCAGACCTTTAGATTGTAAAATAAAATTATTCGATTAATGAACAAATGCCATCCGCGTGTGTTGTGTGCGCAGCTACACGGCGGCGCTGGGCGTGACGGTGGGCGTAGGCTGCCTACTCCTCGTGCTCAACATGCTGGTGTTCGCGGGCGTCTTCTACCGGCGGCGGCGGCGCGGGGGCGGCGCGGGAGGGCGGGCGGCGGCGGCGGCGGCCGAGGCACTGCCCATGGCCCACTGCCCAGCCGCCACCGCCCACGTCATTGAGGTGAGCACGCGGCACGTCAGCGTGGTGTGGAAATCACCGAATTAATGTCCTTGGGCGCTGAGGTAGTATGTTTGTTAGATCGACCTCGGTGAAGTGCCCTCAAAAAGTACTTTAAATGAAAGCAACATTTCTATTCTTCAAGATGGTAAGAAAAAATGTTGGCCCTTATCGGCCTAATTTTTGAATGAAATACGTAAAAATTAATACAAGCTCTTATGGAAAAACTTTCGTTGGAACATTTAAGTTACTAAAGAAGTTATACCATGATTTTTTTTCTTTCATTCAATGCGTAGTAAATTACTTTACGTATCAGATTGTATTAAATTTAACAAACCATTCTGAGGAGTAACTGACAAAAAACTTTTGCGAAATTTATCGCAACTGGAAGTACTGGCTCTGGGCCTAGGAGCTATTCTGTTCAAATCATGCTATTGTCACCATTGTTTTTCTTGGGATACGATATAAAACCAATATTACAATGCGGCGGGGACAAAGCAAGACGTGTGAAGGGCAAGACATGAAAATCGTCTATCCGTAATTTCTATCAGAGCGCGTAGCGTAAAAAGACCTCTGAGAAGAGTGGCGGGGGGGAGGAGTTTAAAAAGACCCCTCCCCCCACTCCACTCTTCTCTGAGGTTGTACCGTGTACCCTACTTTAACCCAAGACTTCTCTTTTAACTAGATACAAATATCTGTTTATATGCTCCGTTCACATTTACAAGCAGCTATTGTTGATCAGTAGGTTTAATAAATGGTCGACTGTTTGTCTAACGACTGACCATACCATCCTAAAGAATTCAGAATGCTTCAAAGGATCATTAAAAAGAACTGCTTTTTTGGAATATGAAATTTAATTAATCCTATTAGCTAGTCGCGGTAGTAACACGATACACAATAATGGTATATTAAAATGCCAGACGTTTTATAAATTATTTTGTGTTGAGTATTTTTTGCACAAAAAAATAGGAGTGTATACCAATTTCAAAGGTAGCATTGACATGAGGAGTACACCTGCCTCTCCCCCTTGGACTTACAAATGTTTCAAAACGCAGTGCTCTGTCATTTTAAATTGAACAATGTCCGTGTATTGTTTAAAGAATGAGCTGTATACATAATATTTTCAGCACTCGTGCATTGAAACAACTTTTTACTGTTTATTGATCGGATTTTCAGTTTGCGGTTTACGTGCGGCCAAACAGCACTCCATGTGATACGCGTATAGCGAAGTAAATAAAACACTGCACACCGCAAAGTAAACAAAAGACTGGAGCAACAGGAATCAATATGGTTCGCGTCTCGCATAATGAGAATGGTGGCAATAACTGGAAATTTTCAGAAATTCGCGTTGTAAAGAAATCTTCGAAATCCGTTCGAAAGTATCTTCTTCCTACACATTTCAAAATTCCGGACATGGCTCCTATCGTGGCTTCTTCCGGAATACTTTTCTTCGGCGCTAAACACTCTCCAGTAATGTAAATATCCATTGAATGTTCCTGTGAAGCACAGATTGTAATGCATTTCGGATATAAAAGATAACAAGCATTCAAAGACTTAATAATAAAATAATAATGTGAATATGATATTCAGTTCATTATATTATTTTGCTCGTAAAGGTTTGTATATTGCAAAAAATGATCCAAATTAACCGGATAACCTGCCTCTGCCTCTATCCGCATTCATGCATCTGTTATTCACATTTAGATCTCTTACAGCACAAATGTAGTACAGCAATTGTATCTTTCTAGAATATTCTGAAAAAAAGTCTAGAAAAGGGATGTTGTGGGAGTTGCAAGACTCATAGCTCACAGTTAAATTAATAAACTGGCATTTCGGCATAACATGAATCATTACGACTCGATACATTAATATAATGAAATATACTTCAAAACAATGAAAACAAATTTGGAAAAAAAAGTTTTTTTGGTATTGTTATTGACTATGTAACTCTCTACACCAGAGCATGGGCGAGTCAGGAAACTGTACTGTTTAAATTTTATTTTTATTATGAATTAACTAAGCACAAATAAAACGTTTAGACAAGGAGGCACCTCGCTAAGCTTCTCTCCGACTACCGCAAATGAAGCTTTTCGATAAAAAGCATTTGCGGTCCGGCACGGGTCCTCCCCTTTCGCAGTTTCTGGATCCGCGCCTGAGCGGCGTACAGTAGAGGATAATTTGAATCGCGTTACGCATTAAATCAACAATAGATCCATGTAAATGGCATTTGGACGTTTACCAGGCTCCAGCGCACGTGATCCGTTGGCGCAGTTGCACAGCCCGGCCGCCGCAGCCGCTGCGAGCAGCCTCGCTTTACCTTTCTAATCCCGCCTTTGTTATGACGCATGCTGACTCCAAGCAGCTTTGCCCCATGGTTTGCGAACAGCACGAGAGGGTATGCGTGTGCTCCAGCAACAGCTAACATCCGAGCACAAATCTCCACGAATTCAAATTAGCAGATTGTGGGGATAAAATATGTTTTGCAGATTCTTTATAGTGTTTGCTCTATTCTCGTAAAGGACTCTGTTGTTTGTGGCTCATAGAGAAGACGTAAGCATGTCGAAACCATCTTCGTATTTTTGACACATATCTTAGTGTGGTGTAAACACCCGTTCATGACAAACTTCTTTATCATCAAAAACTTAAGTTCATTACTTAAGTAGGATTGATTTACATTATAAGCTCTACATTGATACACTCTAATGTGACAGCCATTCTCTACAACAAAACAATTCATCTTCGTTTAAATTTCAATAAACATAAACTATATTTGACAATAAACATTGGTTTTCAAAAGACTCCGAACGTATAGTTTTAAGGTGTCTCAATATCTCTCTGCGATACTTTCATTTGTGGTGCGTTTGTTTCATTATTAGATTTTATTTTTGCAATTTTTATTGTTTTACAGAGAAGATTCCTCCATCTCCCAAAGCATGTATAGAACCCAAAATATTGGCATTGAACAAAATGCGAGAGAAAGATGAACTAACCAAACTGATATACAAATATTGATCAGGAGTAATCTAAAATTAAACTAGTAGTGTTACGACAGCACATTTCTCGCAATATTGCTAATAGCTATGTAATATCATATTGCAATATGACAATTTCCCTCATATACTTCAATTACCATTTGAAGAATTCTTAAACAAACAAAGCGTGAAAAATACATATTTTTTAAATGCAAACGTTTAAACAAAAACAGCTTTCTGCTATTGAATTCAGTGTATCCACGTTCTACATAAAAGTACCAACGATGCGCAATGGTTTTATAGCCGTAAATCAAATTTTTAATTTATATTAACTCGAACGAACTGCGACCGTCACTATCACCTTTTGTTATTAGTCAGAATGTTACAACAGTGTGTTGCAACTCGCAACAATGACCGCGAATTAGTATGGGATACATCATTTTGCAAATTAGCATTGTTCAAACTCCTGACAAGAAACTAAAAATGGATATAAATGTATAATATTTAAATATAATATTGTTATATTTATCAAAACTATTCAGTTTTTTGGCACATTATCCTTCAGTCCCACATCTTATTATACAAAGCGAAATCATCTACTCGTTTTCTCATTGAAATCAATTAAAGACTGCAATTTAAAATAGGTTTTAAAATTAAATTATAAAAGATTAATTTGTAAAAGTATCACAAAAGCTCGATTGTAAGAAACGAACTAAGAAAAAAGAAATAATTTACAAATTCTAACTTTCGAATCATCCTGGAGAAATTACCACTTTTACATTCACAAAGCGCAGTCATTTCGGAACGGTCTATTATTTGTCACGAAATTATACAAAAAATATCTTTCGCACGTCCAACGCCGGCAATATGGGAACTTGCTCCTTACTACTCCGCGTAGGTGTTAAATCTTACTAGATTCACCGACCAAAAAAATCCACCATGAATAATTCTTCCATTCTTTTAGCCTCGATCGACGCTATCTGCCACGCATATCAATCCGCCTTGCTCCACGGCCCCCTTCTACTCACACGTCATCTTATTTCTTTTACCTGGCCGATATCCTGAATACATATTATAAAAGGATTCAACTATCTATTGTCTTTTCCCAAAATAATAAGAGTCTCCAAATATTCGGATTATTTCCGCTATGTCATATTTTAAAAAACATAAAAATTAAGTATGTGTGACATAAACTTTCGCCAAAAATACCCTTATTTTTGAAAAATTGAACATGACCTCTTTTGATAATCTGTTTTTCATGAACACGTTTAAGAAAAAAATTATATCTTCATATTTGTAGTTGTAGGAAGATGCCGCACAAATTTTGAATTTTTTCAATTTTAGAAAAATCAGAGTTTTCAACCAACATAACACCTGAACCATTTTCTTAAACGTCTTTCAGACTATCCCACAATAAAACTTCATCAAAAACAATGGAGCCATTTTTGAGGAAGAAAATTGTTGAAACAAAATTTAAAAATGCCTATGTTTTACTCAAATTACGCGGAAATTCTGAAATTTTTGAAACATTGTGTATGACCATATTTAGAAATATATCGTTAAAGAATATATTTAATGATTATAAAAACCTCTATTTTTATATTTTAACTGTTGAAACACATAGGAAAAAATTTTGAATTTTGGCAATTTTGAAAAATTAGCTTTTAACGAACATGCACCATTCTCTTGAACGTCCTTCAGAACGTCAATTTGCAACAACAAAATTGAATCAAAATCAATGGCGCCATTTTTTTTAAATGTCCCAGGGGGGCTTCATGTGAAGTACTCCCTCAAAATTAAAATATCGGTTTCAAATTCAGGGAGCCTCGACATCAACTAGATAGTCAGGGGAATATCAATTTTGGAAAAAATCAGCTGATCGGTTTAGCCTCTAGCGTTGTTCACACACGTTCGACCGACTGATGTTTTGCCGTCAATCGATTTTTCGGTATCAAGGACTCGCACACAAGGCTTCTTACAACA